TTTTAATAATTCATTTTTAATAATGTCTTATTTTTTAATAATTTATTTTTAATAATTCATTTTTAATAATTTCTCATTTCTTAAATTTCTCAATTTATATGCGTTTAAGCTTTGGTAAAAACAATGCTTAGACAAGAGGAATTTCGTCGCTGCAGAAACTAAATTATGATTATACCGCGAGACGCGAATTTTATGTATAAATAATAAGATAGGAATGTACTGAGAAGATAAATACGTATCCAAGTAAATCCGACAAGCAGTAGTTCGTTCCGACTAGTTGGCATGGATCACAACTGCATTCGCTCCCCCAATATAACAGCCACGCGTTGCTACGTTTCCGGTAAAGACGTGGATATTATGATGCCGGCCCTACTGGCAGTTTCCGGATAACTTCTGGATCATTGATTCTTTCAATCGTTTTTCATTCTCAGCTTGAAGCTGCGATCATTATTTCGATCTTTAGTTAGTCGGAAAGACATTCGTAAATTTTCATGAGAAGCAAAGCAAACACACTTAAATATATATATTTTCTAATTTAATGATATATATACGTGATTAATATAATATATGAATAATATAATATATATACGTGATTAAAATTATGCTAAATAATTAAAAGTGAATCTTTATAAAATGTAAATAAGTCTCTTTATGCTCGTATCATTTCGTATAAAATAATATGTCATTTTTTTCAATCTTGTATAGTCGGGCAGTTTTTTATCGAGCTACGTCATTCGAAAACGAAATGATTTGTTATGAAGATGCAGACACGGTTATCATCGGGACGATCGCACGACGAGGTGGGGATTAGCCCTTAAGTGAATCGTCAAATCGTTTCTGCCGCCCTTGGATTCGGCGCATGAACACATGTATCGCATGCTGTGCAAACAGATCGCGGGCGTGCGCCCTCTCTTCTCCCGTAAGCTGCATCTCCTTCTTTTCCTGTGGGACCCCTTTTTATTTTCGCTCCGTCTCTCTTTCACTCCCCCGCGCCGCTCTTTGTCATTTTCACTCTCTCTTTCCGATCCATCGTTTCACCTTCGTCACTTGTCCGGAGGAGAGGGAATAGAATCGTCGCGCTCTGTTTATCCAGCTGGCGTATTTGAATGTCGCTCTAACGCGCCGTAAAATTATATGCAAAAATCCCCATAAAATATGTAAGTCCCCTCTAATGCACCGAGAAATTGTCGCGTTATATCGTCGCGCCTATGGGATTATTATATCGCCTAGCGTTTTCATCTCCATCGATCGCTGGTAACGAAAAAGGGTGCACGCTTTGGATCTCGCGTGAAATTTAATGGATTCCCTTTGTTCATCTTATTCTCCAATGATATTTTTATGTAGTTTTTTGTTTCCTCTTTTTTATATAATGTATTTTAATTCGATTAATTTAATAATTAAAATAGTATCTCCTTTTGTACATGAGTTTATATAATCATTATACAATGACACCTGCAAGTATCTGATATAATAATTATGCTCGTGTTAATAAATAATTAATTATAATAATGTAATGAAAGATGGGACAGCTAAATAAATGGAAAGTCGCTTCATTTGAATTAAGAAAATGGATAATGTATTTTAATTTGATTATAATTAATTTAATAATTAAAATAGTATCTCTTTTTATACATGAGTTTATATGATCATTATATAATAACACCTGCAAGTATCTGATATAATTATGCTCGTGTTAATAAATAATTAATTATAATAATGTAACGAAAGGTAGGACAGCTAAATAATGGAAAGTCGCTTCATTTGAATTAAGAAAATGGATAATTCGAGCCATGATAGCTACTACTAAGTTGACTGGGATGCAAAGCAATTTGTTGGCAGCAGCTAACAGGTTGTCAGGTGTCGATGGGGGGCCCAACGCGCGCCAGCAGGGGTTCCGCTACCTAGCGGTAGTAAGACTAGCGGCGCTTATTCGTCGGCTCCCTGCGACTCCACATATCATTACTTTTTTTTTCACTTTCTCGTTTTGTCTCCGCTTGTCTTCCATTTAAGTGAAACACAGTTAGTATCAACCTTTATCTCTTTATTCTCTCACAAAGCTCGTTTTATCGCAATTTTTACACATACAAATTGAGCAATATTGCACTATTTGTCATGTATTTAATCATACTCTTAAGTGATACATATTCGAAATCTATTATATAATTAATAAATAATCAAGAAAATATGTTATTATTAAAGATTGCTCGGTTTCATCCAACAAGATATAAGCGAATCGATATCGAATAATTATGTAAATAATTCGCGAAGGGAATATAAAAGGCATCCCGCAAATTCAAAAGAAATAATACATACGGTCCGAGAGGAATGATCGGATCGAACGAATGTCCATGTCGCCGATGACGTCCGGTTTTTTAGTTCCATTGTAATTCCAATATAAGAACGATACCACATGATATATTTATCACCAAACACCGGATGCAGATCAATATTCATAAGGTAGTTCAGTACGAGTCGCGTTACGCTCATTGACTATGGCGGTCCGGCATTATTATTTTAATCAGTTCGTATAATGTCTCTGCAAATTACATAGTAGATTGGATTTAATGACCGGAAGAACTAACGCGGTGTGTCAGCAACGGATGAGAAATCACTATGAAACTGAAAAGAGTCTTCTTATGCGTATATGTTTTATGCGCATATTAGATAGTTTCTTCAATTTTAATATAATGTTTTTCTTTAATTTCTCTTATGCCTTGATAGATTTATCTAAAGCACTCTATATTCATCGTACATTATTTGCAACTACATATTATATTATATTTGATCAAGAAATGCTCTACTTTAATTGTCTGAAAGCTTTCCGTGTTGATTACATACGAATAAAAATGAAAGCATTTCACAAAGATTTTCCCATATGAATATGATTGTGAAAATTTTTCACAATGATCGACGTAATATTGTCGTCAATAAGAGATGTATCGTCATTTTTCATCGTTTGAGTTAAGCCTCCAAACGTCCCGACATTACGACAATTTACACTTTTATTAACATTCACACACAAAGATGCACGAGACATTTAATTATCGACATATCACTGTCTATCTCGATCTAAGGCGACACTGTTAGGAATACCAACGCGAAGCGGGCACCCTCTCTTGTTATTGATTGTTTCCTTGTTTATTGTATATATTAGATTTAATTCGAAGTTCCGGTAGATCAGGTCAGAGGGAAGGCTGGGATGTAGTGGTGTGCGTCGGCGAGGCTGCAATAACTGTCAAACGGTTCCTCGTTTTTAAATCCCTCTTGTAAAGTAAAATGAGACAAGCCCAGTGGCTTCTGTCTCTCTCTCTTTCTCTCTTTCTCTATTCCTCTCTCTCTCTCTCTTTGTTCCTCCATCCTTCGTTTCGCGAAGGTCGGTAAAGCCAATCCCCGCGTTGAGGGTTGCACGACGTAGAATCATCGTGTACGAGGGTAAGCGAGCGGGGAGCGGGGGGAGTCATCCACCCCGATTCTCTCGGCGTTCTCTATCTCTGATAACTCACGTCAATACAGCGCTACAACCTTCCAAGAGCCGGAGGTGCTCTCCTGAAGATTTACCGTTTGACAGTTTTATTGGCCAATGTCGATTGGATTTCGAAATCATGTCGTATCTCGCGATCTCTGCGCGATGCGGATTCTTGCGCCGGAATTAATATTAAATTGATTTGAGATCTTGTCCTCATATTGATGGTAATACAAGTTATACGATTAATAAAAGATAGAATATGAAAGAACTATAAGTTTATGATATAATAAAATTGAAAACAAGCATCTCTTTTCTTTATCAAATATCTTTACAAGCGTAGAATTATTATTTTATATTAGTTTTATATTTTTAATGATAAAATTATAGGAAATAAAAGAGAGGAGCTGTATATTTTGTTTCCAATTATTATATATGTTTCTAAAAGTCTCTGTATATTAGAGCTCGATATATCTGCAATATTACTTACTAAAACTTTATACCTGTCAAGTTTGATATTTTAAATCTGTCGATATCTTTCCAAAAATACGCAAATATATCTTCGCAAAGAAAAAAATAGGTTGCTCCTTATTTGTTTCTCAAAGAAAATTTACGTGCAATATATTTCTGTCTCGCTAACGACTATTCGGTTTTGGATGACCATTGCTACTCCGATCTTGAAACTGTCACGATGATTCGATTTGCGACTATAAAGAATTATAAATAACCGATATACTCTCGTGATTCACACACACGCAAACGCATATCACGGTCGAGAGGTATTTGTATACGTGCGAATACATAGACTTATTTAATAATTTATATTATGGGCATGCACATAAATCGATGTGGACCGGTAAAGAAAGCCATGATATATGGGCTAATTTGACGTATCGCGAGGCTACCGATCGTACCGTCCATGTATGGCCGAATGACCGACTGTAAATTACTGGCACGTCGGCGTAAAAACATCGAGAGCCCAGACTCCCTTGACGGACGTGAACGTTCATCGTCGTCGAAGCCTCATCGACGCTCGAATCCCCATTAGCTCCCGTCCAATATAAACATTGAATCGACTTTTCCGTGCAATACATATTCCGCCGATGCTTTTCCCAAGTTCTCGTGAAGCGTCTTGGGTTGGATCTCTTCGAAATCTTTGCATATCATACCGATAAGTTATGAATACATAAACATTTCTGTCGTAAAAGTGACTGAATACAATGTGACAATGTTAACACGGAAGGTTGTAGTGAAAAATGTAACATAATTGTGATAGATATTGTGGTAATATAATATATATAATATATTTAATTCAAAATCAGAAGAAAACATTATTGTTAAAAGATTTAAATGTGACATACGTTATATATATAATATAAATTTTTAGTATACTTAAATAATATATATTTGAAGTATTCCATTTAAATCAATATATAATAACATTTTTTAATTCAATGGAAAAGACAGAAAATAAGTATTTCAATATAAATGTGTATATTGATTTATACATCTTCAAAAATGTACTATAGGCCACACGTTCTACCATAATGGTGTTTTTGCTCCTCCATCGGACCACCACGGAGATGAAGTCGTCTTCGTTCAACCTAGCATCTCTCATGCGCGCTTCTGATCTCGACAGCAGCGATTTGTTTAGTCTCTTTCGTGCAATTCTAACGCGCTTTCAACAGAATTCAGGCCGTAGAAAGAAACTGCATGACGACAAGGCTTTCGTCAAAAGACCAAATCTGGAATCGTCTGAATTATAGAAATAAAATTGATATGACAGCGAAAAATAGAACCGGAAAAAAAATAAAAAAATTTCTTCAATAATATTAATTATTATTAAATCAATCGCTATTTAATAATATTGATTACTAAAAAATTAGATTGATTTCTACTAGATTGATTTCTATCAAAATATGAATCCATATAAAGATTCAAAATATTGAGTCATACATTTAAATTTTATCGAAACAAAGAAGAAAAGGAAAAAAGTTTTATTTTTTTTAATATTGAGAAAAATGTTATTAAAATAATATTTTAAAGAAGGATATTGCAATTACGTAAAAATTGAAAATATTGCACATGATTTGATCTTAAAAATACTAAACAAAATCTATATATATTTTACAAATTAATGCATAAATATAAATTAATGAAATTTATACATAAATATACATTTTTGCAATATGTCTAATGGACGGACTGATTAAAATTTACTTTTCTCCTTCCTCTCTTTTCCTCATTGTGTTGCTCATGCAGATTCTCATAATTGAATTACATATAACATTTTAACGTAGTGAAGTTTATATCATGCTCTAAAAGATGGCGGCGCAATAAAAGCTTTAAGGCTTCGTAGATTACATCTTTCAACAATGAGGGCTCGCGAGTACTCTTGGCTGTTTCGAACGCCTGGACAGGGAAACGATGTGATTTCCACCTGTGCTCGCTTGAATGCGCTCTCGAACGAGAAACGACGCGACGCGGGTTGAAAGAACCACCCACGGAGCGGGTGAGGATTTCTCTTGATCATTTCGATCGCGCCGGCTTGCCTTTATGTGCATATTATGTATTTATTATGGCTGCCTACCAGGAATCACGCGACAAAACCGTAGGAGCCTTAAGACCTTCTCCTTTTGCTTCTCCGCGGGACCTCTTTGGGGACCGTTCCACATAACGTTCGAGAATCCCATGGTCCCGGGCAGGGGACTCATTAATTGACACCGTGATACTTGCCCCGCCGGTCTTGGTGGTCCGCTTGCCTTTAACGATACGTGCCAATCCCATCGATTTCGATCCTTGTCGTCGATCGCTAGTCTAGTAGCAGAAAAAAAGCTCGTATGATTTATAAAAATAATAATAAAACGGGTATATGATCTTAATTATGCATTACGTTGAAATCTACGTCTGGTAATAAATATTACGTAATAATTTTTACTTTCTCTATAATAATCGGCAACAACATTTTTTTACATTTTAAATATATTTCAGTAAATGTTAATAAATAAAATATACTGCATCGAAAATGCAAAATTTATTATATCTTTCTATAAAAATTCAGCATTACTCTCTGAAATCTTGAACTTCTACTTCTTACGTTTTTATATTTTTTTCTATATTATTTTTTATATTATTTATTATTGTCCGCATTCAATTATAAAAAAATAGGTAAGATTATCTTCATTTAATTATAATAAGAAAATAAATAAAATATTAAAATGTTGAAAGAAGAAAATTATTACTTTGCAACACCTTCGAGTTTCTATTTACGCAATATTGCTTTTGAAATCAATTATTATGACATTATTAAAAGATTCTTGCTGAAACACTTTGTTAACATGTGATTCACGCGCTTGTTATATTTTTAATTTTGTAAGCCCAAGAAAGTGTTTGCACATCTAGAGAAATGTTCGAATCGATTTTTTGATTTTTTTTTTGTCACATACGAACCTTTCTTCACGAAATTCGACTCGATCTGCGCATCACGTACGGCCTATAGTTCGCATGATGCGCTTTCTGGAACTACCGTTCATTCATTTATAAGATAATCTGTAAGCCACAGGCAGAGACACGTTGACGAATGCTTCGTGACATCGAACGTAAAACTGGGCCGGTCATAACGCATTTACATTCTTTTCAATGTCGTGCCACGTTCAGCAGAGGCCACCTCGAGAATTGATATTCCTCGCTCGATTTCTTCGATTTATCGGCCGCCCCTATAACCGCCATAAGTCTCATGTATAGAATAATAGAATAGATGTTACGTTTAGCTAAATATCTCGATTAACGAAGTGTTAATGAGAAAAATATTTGAAAATTTTACTCTCCTTCTTGCGTTTCATGTTATAAAATTCTAACGTACTTCGATTTGCTATAAACTATTGTACAGATAATACATATCGTTCTCACAAACTAATTTTAATATCAGAGCACGGTATTTTTTGTTAACGTATTCGTTGCGAAAGCACGCAGATTTCAAAGAACGGTAAACTTTTGTCTGTGTCTCGAAAAGAAACTGTTCATAATTTTGTCGGAGGACAAAAAAAAAGTTGAGACGTCGCGAATGATGAAACGCCTAAGTATTCAGAGATCGATCGGTACTCGGCCTGGTTCTCGAAAGCGTACTATTGTGTATCTCTGCAGAATTGCTATTCCGCGCGTATATATCCGTAGTAATAATAAATTATGATTCTCTTTTGAAATAGATGTGGACGGCATGTGGATACCTAACGGAGTATCGCGCGGCCCCATATTTACGATTATAATGTCCGCATAGCATTATTTCGATCTGGGAAACGCGAACATGACGGAATGCCGGAGAGCTATCATGTCGCATAATAATAATACTTACATGCGTAATGGCATATCTGTAATGGTAATATTTGTATACGATCCGATTGTGAATTGCTATTCGAATCAGATATAATATGAATATGATTACAGCGCGCTTATATAATGAGAATATGAAGAGGTTTTCGTAGCGAATACAACGATCGAGATACAAAATGACATTAAACGCGCTGGTCGGTTCGATAGAATTCTTGCTTTTAATCCTAAATATCAAAGATATAATCAGCTGCGGTTATTATATTTCATATTCATAGTACAATAATACAATAATACAGTAAATAGTATACTTTACTTGTACAGAAGAGTTAAACTTTGTAGCACTGATAGAATAATATTTCATAAGTCACACTTATGTGAAAAAATAGAAGAAATTTAGTTTGAGAATTACACATTTAGAGAAAGAGAGGAATGAAAGAGATGAAGAATATTCTAATTCAAAAGATAAACTTTTTATAAATACTTTAAAAAACAGCGTAATTTTCTTTAAATAACATAAAACATTCATATTATTTTAAGAAGCATAGCTACGCCTCTTCTGTGCTGCAGTCGTAAGATTGCGTTATAAGTAGCCTTGTTTGTCGTCTAATTGTTATTTCCGAAGAAACGTACGATGCATTAGAACATGATCACGTATGTGATACGTCACTTTAGTGCGTGGTGTTCCGCATCGTGCGTGGGAACTGTCCAGGTCACGCGTCTACGCACTGCGTGCGGAATTATTAAGTGGCTTGTGAAAACATTAGTTTTCTTCGAACGCATCGACGTAAGATTGCAAAATTGATGATTTTAAGTGTGAATTATATTTATATTGTAATGTGCGATAAACGAAAAAATTGCGGAAAAAGGTCTGAAAAAAGTCTGAAGAAAAGATTTGGAAACTGTCTTGATGTGTGCACACATACACATATGTGCTCTTTCTAATGGCATTACAATATAATATTATAATCATTAATTATAAATTTATATAAATGGCGCAGTCAGAATAGAATAAAGTTAGAATATTCATAGAAATAATTTATAATAAAGTATTAATTAATTTATAATAAAAGTCTAGAGGAAAAATCTAAATCAAGGATTATAATAAAGGCTTATAGGGAAAACGCCCACGATTTCCTGTTGCATAACTTCATAATTAACTTATTACGTGGTTTCTCGGGATAATATCCGGTATGCATGGAATTTTGTTGGGTTATATATCTTCGCTTACGCATCTTGATAGGTAACAAGCGCATTTCTCCATCGCTATATAATCTTTCTGCTATACACATCGATATACAAATATTTATTAAATTAATATACACTTGTTAATATATATAATTATTAGGAATTTCAAAAATTTCGCGTCAATAATTTCCTTATTTATTGTTGTTATTTTATCCTTTTATCCAGACATTACAGTTACTAACTATTTCGAATGGTTTCGATTGCGCCACATCGAATTATAATATCGTCCCGACGATCATGCAAATCTCCCAATCGTTAGGAGTAAGTTTATCCTCGAGTCCTGAGGGATCGTTTTCTGCATCACCGTCAACTCGGACGCAGAGGGCGGCGCGCGGTAGTTTTACACATAAATCTGGTCTACGTACGGCAGCAACTCCTCATGGGAGTTAGACCAGGATAGGATGGGAAAGGACTCGCGGAACTCTTCTCTTTAAAAGACCGTTGAGGACCGTGTGAGAACCGACTGTCGTTCTTTTTAACTTGTAAAGGAGCTTCATCCTTTTTTTGCGACTTTTTTCAATTGGAAAGGAATGAATCATCTAAAATATCGGTTATCAATTTTTATAATCGTTTTTATAATCATATACTGTCCAGAAAAGTATCATCGATTGATTGATTAATCACGCATTATAAATGATAAATGTTTGTGTTACGCGTCGGAATTATATATTTAATTAATCTCCATTTTCAATCTCAATTCAAGTCAAAACTGATAATCTTAATTGTACTCCAATTTTCTTTTGTCTGATAATATAATGAACATGAATATAATCTGAAATTTAATTTATATTGACGAAAAAGTGAACATAGGTTTATCTTCTATTTTATTTATTACTATATGTGTTGTGGAAAGGATATGAAGAAGAATATAATCGTACCTTATTCTACAAAAGTTGAACTATTTCTAAAAATAAGTATATATCATTACATGATATTAAATTAACATCTAAAAAATCTTCAGTAAAGTTAAATTACGAATAAAGCGCACTCGTTTTTAAATTTTTAAATAATAAGCACATCAGCTTCAAGATGCTTAATTCTTAAATAGTCGAAATGTCCTCCCCTTTATCGGCTCGCATCTTTTCGATTATCAGATCTTATCTAGCTGACGAGACTGCATCGTCGATTTAGGGGAAACTTCTGCAATTCCCAAGCGCCTTTTTTTTGTAGGAATCACGTAAAATCGTGAAAGGAGTCCTTATACTCTCCGAGAGATGGCGGATCATAGGCATTCCTTGCAGCTTCACAAGAGCCTATTGTATCTCATCCGTTTCCTACACTTCGTCAGTTCACTTCAATTGCATAATTACTGATGAGTATAGGATGTATATCACGTGATACGATGATTATGGATTACGCGTAAATTTGCGCAATTAAATTGTAGGTTGTACATATACCTCGATATTTAATTAAATCGTTTTGCAATATAAAATTCAATCCAACATCTGTTAATTTATTAAGTCTACTGTCCTCTGCTCGTTAACCCAATTTATTCGTCGTGACATTTAAAAATTGATAAATTTTTAATCAACGTTTCTCCTTTTATTCTACTTCCGTTTAGTCTAATATCATTTATCGCGAAACAATGTAATTATCTCTCGCGTGGTATACGCTTCCTTGATATTATCCGCCGGAAGAACGGTCATCTTCAACGATTACACGGAATAAGGTAACAAACAAGACCAGTGCTGATTTATGCATACACGATAAATGACATCCACGTAGCCAACAACACAGCCAACGACTTAAAATACGCATTTTGCTTGCTTATCTATGTAAGAAGTCTCGCTTACTATCTATCTGTACCTCTCTTTCTCTCTTAGTTCACGTACGTGCATCGACTCACACGTTTGTTCGCGTCTTTCTATTCCGTTCGCGTACGCGCGCGCCAGACGAATTAACCGGATTAATTAAAGCACCGAGAACGATATATATCTGAGGTATAAAGGAAAAAAATTTTCGATCGTAGCAAGGAATAATTTTCAAGAGCGTATTGCATCAAGAAGGATGCGAGGGATTTTGACGAATAAATTATTAATTTTAACAGAAATGTCACGCTGACACGCTGGACACGCTGAGAGAGCAAAACAAAGAGATTTCGCCTTGAATTGCGCGCATATTTAATAATTACAATGCGACAATGGATAGGAAGATATATCTCCATGGTAGGAAGATACATCACAATTTATATTATTGATTTACATTAATTTATATTAATTTATTTATATAAATTATATATTTATTTATATATTAATTTATATTAATTTATATAAATTTATATAAATTTATATTAATTTATATTAATTTATATTAATTTATATTAATTTATATTATATTAGTTGTAACAGAAACGTCACTAGACACGCTGAGGGAGTAAAACAAAGAGATTTCGAGTTGCGCGAATATTTAATAATTACAATGCGACAATAGGAAGATGTATCTTCTCCATGGTATACGATTGCAGAAATATTTGCCCGAGTTATGATGTCATGGAGTGGAAGAGGGAAAGAGTACACCCTTAAATGCTGCCTCGTGATGGTTACGCAGATGACGCGCGCTCTAATAATTATAGCTTTGTGTTGCACGGCACAGGTCGGAACGACTATCCGACGATGCAAGTTGAACGGCGGACGAGACAGCCTAACGATTATCGATAATCGCACCGACATGCGGCTCGCGAAACGGGGAAACACGTCGAAATAATAGCACATCTATAGTTTTCCCAGACGCGCGCGCGCGCGCCCGATACGAGGAAAAAAAAGGGAGGGCAAAAAATGAAGAAAGAGAAAAATGGAATGTTGCCTCTCCCCGAACCGGAGACTGTGAATGACCAGATAAAAATAATACAGATCCGCAAACGTTCTGCCAGGAGGAAATAGATGGAACGTAGGAAGGTATTTGGCACGATCAGCATGCATAAGACTTGGCAGAGAGCACGAGATGAAATACACGAGTGAGAAAGTAGAAATTCGATCGGTCCGCGCTATGGGCTTCTTCTACTTTCTTAATGCGCGTTCCGTCACACGTAACACGATTCTCTTATTAATATAATTGCGAATTGACGTTTACGGTCTTTTCCCAATGTCTACTATCTTTTGGCGCAATACGTTGCTAATTAAGGGAATTGCTAGTGTTG